CGCCCGCGCCCCGCCCCGCCACCTTGCCGGGCTAGCGCCTGCGCTCCTCCCCGCCCCGCCGCCGCCGTGGCCGTGGCCGCGGTCCGCCCCGCCCGTGGCCGGCTGGCGAGCTAGGACGCGCATGCGAGGAGGCCAACGGCGGCTGCGGGCGCACGGGGCACTTTCCACGCGCGTGAAAAGTTCAGCGCGCTGGAGTTCGAGCGCTAAATATACTGCTTGCGATCCAGTTTCGTCCGGCGCGCTGAACGCTTTTTACAGCGTGCTTTATTATGCAGCGTCCGCTGAAGTGCTACTTTCAACTCCGCGCGCGCTAAACTTGCGATTTTTTGGGCGCGTCGCTAATATCGGACGTCTGTTGGAGATGCTCTTACCCCTACAGACCAAAGTTACAGGACTGGGTGTCCTAATCTCATGATTCTTTACCTGTGAATTTAGTTGTGGGCCCAAATCATGATAAATCATAGGTCTCCACCTCATCTCTGTAAGTACCTTTCGTAAAGCAAAGTGCTCATGATAGGTTTGTGGAGAAACTATTGGGAGGTAGGCCCGATTTGTATGGCCTCGAGCTATTTCTGTATTTATTTTTAAGCTGATTTTTTTGTATCAACGTGTGGTTTTGATTGGCATTGTTGAATAATTAATAATATACGGTTGTGTGCATTAATCAATGCAAATGACGGAGGTTTATACTCCTTTTAAAAATTTCACGTTTTGAGGTACCTTGACAAGCCAGCTTTTACGTAAGTTTACCTAGAGTATTTATGTAGATGTAGCAAAGCCCATGCAATAAACCGTAACTTATAACCCAAATGCATAAATTGCTTATGTGACATTGGCTTGCATGGCTAGAAGCGTGAACTATTAAGGAACAGAGGATCAAGATCAGTGTACTTATGGGATAGAAATAGTACACTGGTGAATTTTTTCTTTTACCAAAGTAGTATGTTGGTGATAAAAAATTCCATCGATTTGAAGGCGGCTATACACGTGATTAGCAACTACTCCTATAAGGGGAACGAGATCTTCTAACATCATAAAGAGATGTCACGGAAGCTACAGTACTCTGACATCCCTTCTTCACATCCATATGATTAAGCCTAAAATGACTTAAATTAATTTGCAAATTACAAATCTACTGTATACATTTACAGAAATTACATACAAACAAAATTATGGTGCAATAAAATTAATTTCAGATCGTGACATCCCTTCATGATTTTAGAGGATCCGTTCCCCCTATAAGGTAGTACCGGCAATATACGTATATATCATGATAGTCAATGGACCCCGTTCTTGCAATTGCAGAGGATACCCCTGCTTTAGTTCCATTACTAGCATCCAACTCGAGCATCTGATTCTCCGGCAAGCATATCGATGCTCCTTTCTCTAAAAATATTTCGATCGAGCATCTGATTCTCATTGCAACAACTTGTGGAATTTGACGCTCGATATTGCACTCCATGGGCTGGCCAACTCTTTCATTAATGGAAGTGATCACTGGACTCTGTGCGCTCTTCCTAAAAGAGTAGAAGCTCGACATCGACCTCACCTCAATCAGCAGGGGGGAAATGGGTGCGGTGCTATCAAAGAAAAGGATAAGGAAAAGTGATGCCGTGGTGCAGGAGGTGAAGGTGGTGGAGTCGTGCATGGTGGCACCAAGCGCGCAGACGCCTAGGCACGGCCTGTGGCTCTCCCCGCTCGACCTCATGCTGGTCAACAGAGGCCACACCCCCACCGTCTACTTCTACCGCTCCGAGTCCGGCGGCGACTTCTTCGACGTGGCCAGGCTCAAGGCGGCGATGGCCAAGGCTCTGGTGGCCTTCTACCCCCTGGCCGGCCGTCTCGGTGTGGGCGGCCGTGACGGCAGGGCGGTGATCGACTGCGCCGGTCAGGGCGCGCTCTTCGTCGCCGCGCGCTCCGAACTGGCCGTCGACGACTTCAGCGGCTTCAAGCCGTCGCCGGAGCTAAGGAGGCTCTTTGTTCCCCGCGTCGAGGATTACTCGCCTCCCGTCATGTGCGCCGTCCAGGTCACCTTCTTGAAGTGCGGCGGGGTGGCACTAGGGACCGCGCTGCACCACGTCGCCGCCGACGCCATCAGCGCCTTCCACTTCTTCGAGTCGTGGTCCGCCTTCTCACGGGACGGCGACGCGGCGGCGGCGGCGGCCCTAGAGCCCCCGTTCCACGACCGCACCCTCCTCCGCGCGCGCTCCCCGCCCTTCGTCCACCCGGACGCGCTCACCGTCTTCTGCCCCAAGCTGAACCTCTCCACCGAGCCGTCGGCGAGGCCCGTCGTCAGCGAGGCTTTCGACATTTCCAAGGACCAGGTCGCCGCTCTCAAGAGTGCGTGCGTCAGCGGCGAGGGCGGGCGCGTGAGCACGTTCTGCGCCGTGAGCGCCCACGTGTGGCGGTGCGTGTGCGTGGCCCGCCGGCTGCCGCCGGACGCCACGACCCGCCTCACCTTCCCGGCCAGCGTCCGGCGCAGCCTGAGGCCGCCGCTCCCGGCCGGCTACTTCGGCAACGGGATCATCTGGCTGGGCGCCGCCGGCCAGGTCCGGGACGTCGCCTCCTCGGGCTCGGAGGGCCTGCCCTCCGTGGCCGACCGAATCAGGGGCGCCGTCCGCCGGATGGACGACGAGCTGGTGCGCTCGGCGGTCGACTACTTCGAGCTGACCACGGAGGCGGACAGCAAGCCAGCGCCGGGCCGCATGGCGGAGACGGAGCTGAGGGTGATCAGCTGGCTGGGCATGCCGGTGTACGACGCGGACTTCGGGTGGGGGAAGCCGCTGGCGATGCTGCGCGCCGAGGCGGAGCGCGCCGGGTTCGTCTACCTGATGGACGGCGGGCAGGGCGCCGGCAGCGTGCGCGTCGTCATCTGTACGGAGGCCGCGATCCTGGACGACTTCCAGCGCCTGCTATATGCCAAGTTCTAGCTCTAGGCGACGCCTGACATGAATGACGCCGGTCCTGACGCTGAGGTGTTCAACAAAGAAATTACACTTGTGAAATTGTACTGTGATTATGAAATAATTATTCTGGGCATTAGCAAAAGCTTCCTGGTTTGATTAGCGTAACCATACGGCCATTACAGGAGAATACAGCAAAAGTAGCATGCAACAAGAATATGAATCAAACTCGTTGGCATCATCTTTTAGCCTGTGGATGAAAGCGTGGAGTATTTCGTTTATCTTAACGATTCCTTTTTTGCTTGCAGGTACAGAAACTCTTGTGATCATGCAACTTACCTTCGTTTATCTGCCTTGTCATCTGTTCTGATTGACCTTTGTATCTACATAAAACAGAGGATATTGGCCTAAAAACAGGGGATGTTACCAGCTACTCCTACAACTTAAAACCACACAATTAAGATGTGCATGCAGAACAACTTAGTTACTGCATATCCATATGTGTCTTAATTATTACTGTACACGCCTAAATGACACAATCAAGTATAAAAAAGGCAAACCAACAGATGGTTAGTTAGGAGAACAGTCCTATCCTCAGACCACCACCAGGATCCAAGTCCTTATGCTTGCATTATCTTAGATTTATTTCAGGATATCCAGCGATGCACGTTGAGTGAGAAGAGACATTCTCGTCTGACTATGAGGCTTGTGCGGTGACTTGCGTCTTAAGAAAAGTATTAAAAAATACTCACAAGAATCCTCGTGTAAAATCAATGTTATAGTACTTAGACGGAGAAAATACTTACCGCACGTCTAAATGTGCTTTTACAAACCCGTTTTATTTTTGACAATGAGCAACCTATCGATTTTGTAATATGCAGCTCAATGGAGCCTCTTGAGGCTGAGTTGCGCGCCGTGCTCTGGCTGCAGCATGCCGACGGGGAAGGGCGCGTGTGCGTAGGACGGCGAGAGCTCCAAGGAGAAGCGCCGCAGGATCATGGCGAGCCCCATCTTGGCCTCGAGCAATGCGAAGCTCTGGCTGACGCAGGTCCGCGGGCCCCACCCGAATGGGAAGAACGCCGGCGCGTCCGCGGAGTATTTCATTGCACATATGACTCAATCAAGCATAAGGAGAAAAATAAAAGTAAAAAAGAAAATACCCAAACGAATCTCTGCGTAAGATCAATGACATACTACCCCTGTCCTAGTTTATTGGTCATGTTCGTATTTTATGCAAAAACTTGAACATAAATTTAACTAACAAAATGTTAATGAATCTAATCAAAATTATATTGTTAGATTCGTATTTGAACTTAGCTTCCATTTTTTGTGACATGTATTAAAATTTTGTTAATTAAATTCATGATCAAAATTTGACACAAAATACTTAGTGAACAAATAAACCAGAACAGAGGTAGTAGGACTTAGATGTACAATACTTATGGCATGTCTAGATGTGCTTTAGCAAAACTGTTTTCTTTATAGAGGGAGTACAACTTAAAATCACACAATTATGATGTGCATGCAGAACAACCTAGTTATTTCATATCTAGATGTGCCTTGTTTATTGCATATCTAAATGACACAATCAAGTATAAGTAAAAGAAAATATCCACAAGAATTTTTGTGTAAATTTAATGTTATGAACTTAGACAAAAAAGTACTTATGATACATCTAGATGTGCTTTAACAAATCCATTTTTTTTTGACACTGAACAACCTATCCATTTTATAATATGCAGTTCAATGGAGCCTCTTGAGCCTGACTTGCGCGCCGTGCTCTGACTGCAGCATATGCCGACGGGGAAGGGCGCGTGTGCGTAGGACGGCGAGAGCTCCAAGGAGAAGCGCCGCAGGATCATGGCGAGCCCCATCTTGGCCTCGAGCAGCGCGAAGCTTTGGCCGACGCAGGTCCGTGGGCCCCACCCGAACGGGAAGAACGCCGGCGCGTCCGCCGACGCCTTGGAGATCCCCTCGGCGAACCTCTCTGGCCTGAACTCGTCGGCATCCGCGCCCCAGACCTCCCTGTCGTGGTGGACACACAGCAGCGGCAGCATGAGCACCACGCCCGCCGGGTACCTGACGCCCCCGAGGTCCATCGGCTTGCACGTCTTGCGCTGGAGCGCGGTCAGCGGCGTGTACAGCCGCAGCACCATGGTCACCTGCAGATCAAATGCGGTTGAAATCCAGAGATGCGGCATTAGATCCATCCATTTTATCCTCTAATTGACGAAGATAGTACCGCTACTTACGATCTTCAAGTTCTAGCTCTAGGCGCTGCCTGACATGAATGGCGCCGGTCGTGACGCTGAGGTGTTCAACAAAGAAATTACACTTGTGAAATTGTACTGTAATTATGCAAATAATTATTCTGGACATTAGCAAAAACTTCCTGGTTTGATTAGAGTAGCCATACGGCCATTACAGGAGAATACAGCAAAAGTAGCATGCAACAAGAATAGAAATCAAACTCGTCGGCATCATCTTTTAGCCTGTTGATGAAAGCGTGGAGTATTTCGTTTATCTTAACGATTCCTTTTTGCTTGCAGGTATAGAAACTCTTGTGATCATGCAACTTACTTTTGTTTATCTGCTTTGTCATCTGTTCTGATTGACCTTGTATCTACCGAAAACAGAGGATGTTCGCCCAAAAAATAAGGGATGTTACCAGCTACTCCCTCCGTCCGGAGATACTTGTCATCAAAATGGATAAAAGAAGATGTATCTAAACATATTTTAGTTCTACATACATCCCTTTTTATCCATTTTGATGACAAATATTTTCGCACGAAGGGAGTACAACTTAAAACCACGCAATTATGATGTGCATGCAGAACAACTTAGTTATTGCACATCTAGATGTGTCTTAATTATTATTGTACACGTCTAAATGACACAATCAAGTATAAAAAAAGCGAACCAACAGATGGTTAGTTTGGAGGACAGTCCTATCCTCAGCCCACCAGGATCTAAGTCCCGGTGCTTGCATTATCTTAGATTTATTATAGGATATCCGACGATGCACGTTCAGTGGGAGAAGACATTCCTGTCGACTACGAGTCATGTGTGGTGACTTGCAATCTAAGAAAAGCACTAAAAGTACTCACAAAAATCCTCGTGTAAAATCAATGTTATACTAGTATTTAGAAGGAGAAAATACTTACCGCACGTCTAGATGTGCTTTTACAAATCCGATTTATTTTTGACAATGAACAGCCTATCGATTTTGTAATATGCAGCTCAATGGAGCCTCTTGAGCCTGAGTTGCGCGCCGTGCTCTGGCTGCAGCATGCCGACGGGGAAGGGCGCGTGCGCGTAGGACGGCGAGAGGTCCAAGGAGAAGCGCCGCAGAATCATGGCGAGCCCCATCTTAGCCTCGAGCAGCGCGAAGCTCTGGCCGACGCAGGTCCGCGGGCCCCACCCGAACGGGAAGAACGCCGGCGCGTCCGCTGACGCCTTGGAGATCCCCTCGGCGAACCTCTCTGGCCTGAACTCGTCGGCATCCGCGCCCCAGACCTCCCTGTCATGGTGGACACACAGCAGCGGCAGCATGAGCACCACGCCCGCCGGGTACCTGACGCCCCCGAGGTCCATCGGCTTGCACCTCGTACAGCACCTCGTACAGCACCATGGTCACCTGCAAATGGGATCATAACTTATGGGATGCAGGCAACATTGGCACCATGGTAAGATGAAGATAGTGCTGCTACTTACGATTTTCAGGCGACCTAAGCCATCGTAATCTGGAGTGGTGCCGGCGGAGAAGACCTGCATGACCTCCTCCCTAGCGCGGTCCTGCCACTCCGGGTGCATGCAGAGCACAACCATCGTCCACGTGAGCAGCACCGCCGTGGTCTCCATGCCGGCGAAGTAGAACAGCTTGCACTCTCCGACCACGTCGTCGGTCGTGATGCCATCTCCCCTGCAGCGCGCCATGTTCGACTCCAGCAGCAGTCCGAGAAGGTCGTCGCTCGTGGCTTTACCGGCTCTCAGGGCATTCTCCCTCTTGGCGATGACGCCTTTCAGGATCCTCCCGATCTCCGCGGCGATCTGCCTCATCCTTCGGTTGGCTTCTGCACGCAAAAAAAATGCATCAGTACAGTCTGCATCTGCAGTCTGAACTCTCAGACCACGTCGTTGGAAGGGAGAGTGATCAACAAAGAACTAACAGGTAACCAGGGATGTGCATCTTGCTCATGGCCTGCATGGCGAGCTCGATCTGCTCCCCCTGGAGCTGGAAGATTCTCCTTCCTTCGAGGTAGCTGCTGCCGAACGCGGCGCGGGAGATGACGTCTCCCGTCAGGCTCTGCATTTCGGGCCAGACATCCACCTCGCATGGAGAATCCCCTTCGGCTAAACCTTCCCATCTGCATACCAGCTCCGTGCAACACGCGGCGAAAGCCGGCAGCATGCGCTGAAAGTTTAACACAAAATTGGTCACAACTTGAACCTGAAGCCCTAGAGCAGTCTACCATTCCAGAGACGGAATGGAAAGATCACCTTGAGCTTTTCCAGATGGAAGGCGGGGTTGATGATCCTCCTGTGCTTTGCCCACTTCTCACCCTCGTGGCCACCCACGCCGTTGTGAAGCATCCTCTGGAGTCGGCCGAGGTTGAGCTTCTCTGAGTGGCCGGACTTGTTGGACAGAACTTCTCGCACCAGCTCAGGCTTGGTGATGGTCACTCTAGGCACCGGTCCAAGCCAGGTGAAGGACATTTTACCTGTCAAATGGTTTGGGCAATCACAGGGAAGCTGGTTAGGCTTTTTTTTTTTTGGTAAGGATGCACATTTCCATTTTCAGTTAGTGCCTTGTTTTTTAAGTGGGGATGTGGGAGTATATCAATCCGTTAGTTGAGTGGAGGAGACTTATGTATAAGTGGTAAAAAAAACTTATTCCAGCCTCATCATAATGCTATTTTCTAATATACACGTTAAATATTTCTGAAATACACTTTGAACATTTTTTCCTATTTTTATTTGTCGGTTTGAAAAATACACAAACATATTTGAAATGTGAGAATATTTTCTTCTAAATAATGAACTTTTCTTTATTTTTTATGTTTTACTTTATATCTTTCTTTTTATTTATTTATTTCCATTTACATTTCTTCTTATTAATCTCATTTTTCACTTTTTAAAAACATGAACAGCTTTCACAAAATCAAGATGAATAATTTTTAATACACAATGAACAACTGAACATACATGATAATTATTTTTTCTAAACACGCTATCGTTTTTAAAATGCGTGATAATTTCAAAAGGTAATGAACATTTATTAAGTAGACGCCGAACTTTTTTTTGCCTACATACATGATTAACTTTTCTTAAATACACAGCAAACATTTCTAAATATGTGAGGAACATGTTTTAGTTACATGATGAACATTTTACAAGACACGATACACAACATTTTTTTTTTCAAAATATATTTTATATTTTACAAGCTACATGAACACTTTTTTATTTTAAAATTGTATATATTAACGTTTTTTACAACACATGAACACTTCTCTTCGTGCACAATACATTTTATAGAAGTACATGAACAATTGTCTTGAATTGCGTGAACATATTTGTTTACAATTACATGAACATTAAAGTATTTAATTTGTTCCACACGTAAGTGGTATGGTATGGTGTAATGAATAGTTGTAACTAATATTGTGGTGCAAAGAGACAATAATTTAGCTTGAAACTGTAAGAGCTGGCTTCAGTTTTATTGGGCTCGCCCAGTTACAGCATTAGCGAGTGAGACTCAGAAGTGCTCGCAACTAGCGGGAAATAGACGTGCCCCAACCTCTGTGCATGAAATAGGGGTGCTCCAGCAGAAGTACTCTAGGAGGAAACCAGCGTTGGGTGCTCTCCTCGTATATGTGACACACATAAGATTTTTTTCCATTTTTTTTACTTTTTCTAAGATATTTGCATATGTTACAAGTTGTACTTTCATTACAACTTTAAACATTCACCACGCATTTAAAAATGTTCATTGAGTGTAATAATTTAGGTCTGCAATTACATAACATTGTTCGCCACAATTAAAAAAAAATCAGATGTTTTAAAAAATATTCATGCAGTGTAAAAAATTATTCATAGAATGTTTTTAAAACACAACTAATAAAAAATATTCGTGTCATTTTATAAAAATTTTCTAACCCTTAACACATGTTTCCACATTAATCCAAATGTTCATGACATTTATTAAATATTTAAAACGTGTTTAAAAATGTTCAATGTCTATTTAAAAAAATATTCAATTTGCATTTTACAATTGTTCAACATGTATGTGGATAAATATTCAACATGTACTTTAAAAAAGTCAATGTGTATCTAAAAAGGGTTCAATTCTTATACGAAAATGGCTCAATGCATATTAAAAATCAATATGTAGTTTGAAAAATGAAATAAAAAACAAAACTGACAGGAAAATAGAAATGCCAAAAATAAATAAGCCAATGAAAACCGTAGAGAAAAACACATGAAAGAAAAAAAAACTTAGAACCTTCCCAAAACTGGCCAAAAGTCAGGCGGAAGGTACCACGAAACTTGTCCTCATAAGGTTCCCAAGACCGTTCTCATTTATTGGGCCAGTCCACGTTCATCAATGCCTATAGCGCAAATGTGGTCTCGGATTAAGGAATTTTTAGCATTTGCACAAACCTCGAAGCACTCCCTATATGGACTGGGCCATTTTTTTACTGTTTTGTTTCATTTTCATTTTTTATTTTTTCTCTTTCTCCTTCTGTTTTTTTACTTGGTTGTTTTTGTTTTTATTATCAATTCTTTGTATGTTTATTCCTCTCATTTCTTATTTTAAAATAAATGAACTCATTTGGGTAAACATGTTAACTTTTTTTTCTAGAGTGTATATATGTCCACATGTGCATGAACCTTTTTTTAAAATGAATGTTGATTTTTCAATATACACAAACTTTTTTTTGTGGCATGAACATTTTTTAAACATAATATGGTCGTTTACTTCGACTATATGAAAATTTATATTGAGGACTTGAGGTAAACCAACATTATTTGTTGTCACTCTATAAAATTATCCATTTTAACTGACATGCAACTATTTCTTAAAATTTACTATTACACATAAAACATTTCTTTGAACAAAAAAAAGGGAAGCTATTGGGTTGCACTAGTGATCGGCCCATGTAGGAGTTCAGTAGGCATTTTAGCATCTATTCATCGATAGGAGGAATCGCATGAAGATTCCACCTATAAAATTAGATTTCAACATATAGTTGAACAACAAGTACCCCAAACCCTATGCATCCATTAAACTCATGGTTGGAAGTTTAGCCGTCATCACATTTTCAGGTGGATCATATATTGTTGGTTGTCAAACACAGGGTGGCGGCATGGGTGAATTCTCAACCGTTGCTCTCATCCTCCTCCTCCTCCTCCTCCTCCTCCTCCTCATCATCATCATCCCCCGCTCCACAAGTCGGTGATTGAAATTCGCTCAATCGACTCTGGCGTACGGGATGGTTATCTCCCGCGACATGAGGCCGGACTTGTCAGCACGACTCGAGTGGGATAGTGGAGGTTGCCAGAGAAGCGGCTCTAGCATGAATGAATCTGGCGGTGATGCTTTCAAACCGGCGATGGCGACGGTTGCCTCTCAACCCAACCTTTGATGTACGCACCTCGACATGTACGAGGTAGATGCATCGCAGATCCCAATCATTGCCCCTCCTTTTCTCGGCAACAGGGCTGGAAAGTGGTGCATCAGTGGCTCGGTACGGGGCGGCGAGATCCTCCACCTACTTCCAGTGGTTTCACTGGCGGCCCGAGCATGACTTGAGCCGTGTCACTGCAAGGATCCAGCTAACGAGAAGTTGTTGGTTGGTGGAGAAGTTGTTGGCACAAGTATATAGGTTCTCCGAATGACCATCGAGATATTGTATCCGGCTAAATGATGCCTTGTCTATGTACTTGCATCGTACCCTTGTTGATGATGTTGGCTCGAAACGTGTCTTCAGGATGAAAAAAATCTCAAGTTTGATTTTTGGTTGAACTGGTCAAAAACGGCACACATGTGACGATCCCTTCTTGAGGTTTCATCAAAGTGTGGTGTATAATTATTTTCAGCCACATCTCAAATGGTGGATTATGGTCAAATGGCATAGAGTTCATGAGAGCAAAAATGCTAGACTTATGGGAATTACCCCTGCATGCCAAAGTTATGGGACTGGGTTTCCTAATCTCATTGATTCTTTACATGTGAATTCAGTTGTGGGACCCAAATAATGATAAATCCTAGGTCTCCACCTCATCTTTGTAAGTCCTTTTTCGTAAAGCAAAGCTCATGAGAGGTTTGTGGAGATATTATTGGGAGGTAGGCCCGATTTGGATGGCCTCGAGCTTTTTCTTTATTTATTTTTAAGCTGTTTTTTTATCAACATGTGATTTTGATTGGTATTGTTGAATAACTAATAATATATGGTTGTATGTATCAATCGATGCAAATGCTGGAGGTTATACTCCTTTTAAAAATTATCACATTTTGAGTTACCTTTTGCAATTGTACTAGTATTGAGTTAGCCTTTCGCCTCCGGAATGATGCTGTCTACTAAAGTGCCAGTAGGAGTTTTCTTGCTACAACTATTCTGACTAGCACTCCTATTTCCCGGGACTCCACAGTTCTGGTTGTTCTATTCTGTTACGCGAACTTGCAGTACAGCTGAATTGGACTCTTAAATAACATCGTGTACCCGAAACAAAATGAATCCAGTCAAGACGAGCGTCTGACAAGACTAGAGAAATTTCGAAGGGTAAAGCAACACGTACCGTGCTCCTTGGCGGCCTGGTGGAGGAGCGGCATCGCCCGCGGCACGACGTCGTGGCAGCCCAGCGCATGGTCCGGGACCTCGCCTCCTTGTTGAGCTGCTGGCTGAGCTGCACGGAGGCGGCCACCGGGCGGTAGGCCGTGCCGCGGAGGCCCTGCGACCGCAGCGCCCGGTCCAGGCGCCGGGGCCTCCACCACGCCCACTCCAGCGCCCGCACGGCGCACCACGCGATGCCCGCGGCCGCGACCGCGTACAGTACCTCCAGTGTAGAAGGAACCGGCGAACCCATCATGCTCGTCGCCATTGTTAGAAGGGAGAGGGAGGTTTGGTGGAATTGTTCGTTGTATTGCTTGATCCTCGTGGGCATTTATATAGGAGTACAATTATCTACTTGGAGTACAAGACAAGCCAGAACAAATCCTAGTCTATCTCGTCTTTCCTAATAAACATTATACTCAACATCCCCCCGCAGTCATAACGGTGGCGACGCAGAAGGTGAGACTAGAGAAGAATCCAAAGGCAAGCCGACGGACACCCCCCCCCCAGTCGTAACGGTCGACGCATCGCGAAAGGCGTGGCTGGAGTGGAAACCGACGAGGTTGCTCAAGCAGGCGGCATCCCTTTGTGCCGTTTGTCGAGGTAGCCGAGAGCGTGGGTGATGGAGCCGTGGTCGAGGTAGCCGTGCGAAGAATGCCGTGGTCGATGTCGAGTCGGGGTAGCCGGTGTCGAGGAAGTCGCCGTGGAGCCGCGGGCGCAAGGAGGCGCCGAGTTAGTCGTGGGCGCAGTGGTGTCGAAGTAGTGGTGCGCCAGGAAGGAGATGATGTTGACGACGCGTCGCGCCGGGTTTGCCAACCCCGGGGACACATCATAGACGAAGGCACACGTCGGTATTGCCAGCACCGGGCATGCGTAGAC